GAAAACAATTCAACAATAATACGAGCAAGAAGAGGGTCAAAGCCGGAATGGACTGAATATATAACACAATAAACCACTTTGGATGTATTCAAAGAGGTTATATCCCATAGTCCAAAGGCCTTATCACTCTTAGTCCAAAGGTGTCAGATAAGGCTGAGTTTTTTTTTTCAATTCACACGAGGAGGACTGAAAAATGGTACTATTTGTATTGGGAGAACCGGTGAAGCTAGAATTCTGAAATTTGGATTGAGGGTCATTGATGGAATGTACCAAAGGTTTTGGAAATTCGAATTATAAGTATCCGAAAAGTACTAAATTTGTCACAATTTCGTAGCATGTGAACAGATAGAGCTAAAAACTTGATATTTGGATATTTGAAAGTGTTAAATTCAATTATAACATTACATCACAGCAAGGTATACAAACAAATAATTAAGTAAATCAGATATTCAAGAAAAATCCATGCAAATTATTATTATTTATTGGAGACACTGAATGTCTTGAGACCCTGTGGAATACTCGAGCGACAGGAGAATCAAATAACCCAAAACACTTTATTGAGATTACAACATCTATAGAGATACTATAGATGGAAACATTTATTAACTTGGTTTTTGCCAAAATCATACGGGTATGTTCTGGAATTCAAGGTGTGTTCTTTTCACTTCACACATACACTTCACCCTAGAAGTTACCTCCTGTTCTGAATTGAAATTTTCGAACTACGACAAAAATAAACGCCGACATGGTACTTTGCAGAAAGTGTTGCCATACAATATAAACTGTATTCGTTTTTAACATTGTTTCTGTTATTTTTTAGTAATTCCGTAAATTCTAACAATAATTTTATTATCATTTTTTAATATTTTATTATTCGCAACATAAAATTTAAGGGGAACATTTGGTAAACCCATCTTGTACATTCTTATTGCAAATCAGCTGTTTGTGTCAAGCGAGATTAATTTGGAATAAATGCAACACAATCTATTTAAAGTTGGTTTTAAATGCAATTTATCATAATTTTGTGATTTCAAACAAATTATACGCAATTATAACATATTAATCGGCTTAACTCTAGTTTAGTAAAACCGATCAGATTTTTCTGAAATTTTTTCCAGAGGTACGTGTTTTTACTCTAATTATCCCGTACCCGTCTACCCGGTTATTTGACCCGGAAGTTCGGGTACGGGTACCCGGTTATATCCGGTTCTACGGATCCGGTTAATATAATATGGGTATCATTTTAAAGGTTATAAAAATCATCTTTTGATCCACAACAGATACAGCCACATATCGCACCATTTTGGAAAGGGCAAGTTGTGGTCTAACATTTGAGTCTGGGCTGGAGGTGGACTATAATGGACCCAAGTTCGACTTTTAGGGAGTTTTTCAAAATAATCGGGGACCAAAACCCAGTTTTTTGACTATATCTCCAAAATGGTTTGAGATAACCATATTACCACTCAATGGAAAGGTATTTTTATAACCTTTAAAATGATACCCATGATATTTTATATCATGGATATAAAACCGGATATAACCGGGTACCCGTACCCGAACTTCCGGGTCAAATAACCGGGTACGTCCCCAAGAAAAAAAGATATCCCCATTATTAGGGTAAAAATACCTACCTCTGGAAAAAATTTCAGAAAAATCTGATCGTTTTTACTAAACTAGAGTTGTTCCCCGACTCTCACTATGAAAATTTAAATGTAAAGAATACACCTCACCTGTAAAGTGTGTTACAGAACACCTCGGCGTCTGTTCGATGAACTTCAGGGGTTGAAGTGAATGCCAGAAATTGCCCGATAGTTTTAGTTTTTTGAGTATATATTGAAAACCCATTATTCGATAACCACATGACTATTACATTAACATTAAAATCAATTAAAGACTGCAAAACATCTATGAACACATTTTCTCCTTTAAAGAGTATTTGTATATCATCAGAAAAGCAAACGACATAAAATTCCTACTATACAAATCATTAACATGTATTACAGGGGGCCTAGAACAGATCCTTGACAAGCACAACTAGTCACTGGCAACATATGGGCACTTCCGCAGTCACTTACACGACTTTCAGCGGCAAAATCAAATTTTAAATCTTAAATAAATCGAAAACAATTACATTTTTTACATTTCTCCCTTAATACTTTTTTGTAGAACTTTAGGAGTACTATCAGTGGTAAAAAGTTGAGAGCCTCCAGTTTTTAACTTTTGAGATAAAAGCCACAAAAGAGCGGTCACTCGCGCGACTTCAAAATTACATGACTTTAGACATCAATGCTAATAATGGGAAAACTCTGAGAATTGTGTGAATATTTTGAACCTTTAATATTCTTTACATGAATAAGAGATATCAAGCATTATTATTAGACTTTCAAAATATGGCATATCCTTTATTTGCGAAGGACTTTTCTCGGTCACTCACGCGACGTAACTCACTCGACATTTTTGATTTAGTTTTTTTTATTTCTGCAGTGTCTGCATTTATTTTCATTAAATTGGTATTTATGCTAAGAACAGAAAGAAAAAATTACAAATGTGGTCTTTCTTTGTATTTTTTGCCTTTACTTTACGTAGTTTAGCACAATTAAAGAAACAAATTCTTCGACTTTGGTTTACCTTTTTGCGGAAGTGCCCATATTCGAAAAACAATTTTACGTATTGCTTTCCAAATCAGTATGAAAATGTCAGTTTACACGCTGAGGACGAAAACACGGTTATAATAATTAAATGGACTTAAAATATTTCAGTCGTTTATTTTGAAAGTAACTTAAGGGGGGTCCCCTTTCTCGGGGTCAATTTTTTTTATTTAATTCGAATCAACACTAATTCAAGAATGTCCCTACAAAATTTCAAGTGAAAATCTCAAGAACTCTTGAAAATATAGCCGATTTATTGTGTCAGCATCAAGTGACGGCTAAAGGGCTTCTCAAACTTTAAACGCGTTTTTCTCTGTTGCGAATGGCGGGCACGATAACTCAAAAACTAATAACCCAATCGATTCCAATTTTTTACACTTTTCTCTGTGAGTGTATAGCTATCGTATGAACTAAAGCCAATCGGTGAAGATCTTCCTCATTTTTTAACTTGGTTTTTGGTCAAAAATCTGCGATTTTCCAAAAATATTTTTTTAAAGGTCCGCCATTTTGTTAATTTTAGAGCGAAGTCAATAAGTCAATAATACGAGAGCCAGACATGTACTCTTTCTAACATCCTTGGAATTTTCGGATTCCGATGTTCCAGTGAGGAGTTATCATGCCCGCCATCAAAAATAAGGACTTCTCTTTAATTACAAAAAACAACAACAAAACAATTACAAATTTTTTTTGTAAATTATTTTTCTTCTCTTTTAAATCTTCAAATATATATGTGCAGTGTTACAAACCTTAACAAGCATTGGTACTGATTTACCAGCCCATTGAAAATCTTGAAAAATTAACGGGCATGTTCTGGCATTCACTTCAACGGCAGATGTGCATCGAACACACGCCGAGGTGTTCTGTAACACACTTTACACCCATTTGAGGTGTATTCTTTACACTTACATTTTCATAGTGAGAGTCGGGTGTATTCATGTTTTTCATTATAAAATAAAATATTTTTTGAAATAAAAAAGAACATGATGATAGATTGATATGTTGTTAATGCGTATAAATTGTTTAAAATCACAAAATAAACATGAAACGCCATTAAAAACAAATTTTAAATAGATACTAAGGTTTGTCTTGAATTTTCTTCAACTGAATTTCTTGCTTGACACAAACAGCTGATTTGAAGTAAGGCCGAAGAAGATAGGATTACCAAATGTTCCCCTTAAATCAATCAACAAATTAATGATATTACAGAGTTTTTCATACATATATTTTATGTTGCGAATAATAAAATATTAAAAAAAAAATAATAAAATTATAGTTAGAATTAAATTACAGAAACAATGTTAAAAACGAATACAGTTTATATTGTATGGCAACACTACTTCTGCAAAGTACCATGTCGACGTTTATTTTTGTCGCAGTTCAAAATTTCAATTCACGTGAGAAGCAGAACAGGAGTTAGCTTCTGAGGTGAAGTGTATGTGTGAAGTGAAAAGAACACGCCGTGAGTTCCAGAACATACCCGTAAAATCGAGAATGGGTGGGGTTCCCTTAAGTCCATTTTTTCTTATATTGAGATATTGTTAAGTGGAATAAATTTTGTTTGTTGCTTTGTGTCCTTAAACATGATAAATAGAAAACGTAAAATGTTTTGTAAACTTCTCTAGAATACCAAGATGTGTATCTGAACCTAAAATGGACTTCCACTTTTAAAATATGTTTTTTTTTTTTCAATTCATTGGAATTATGGAAATTTATTAGGGTAATAATATATATATATAAAGTATAAACACATTTATCTAACCAAAACGGTCATTTCAGAAGATACTACTTAATTTGTTATAGTCCCCTAAAAACAATAAATCTACAAAATTACCTCCCCGAGCCATTTTCATAGACTTCAAGATATTTTAACTGCATAAATTAAACTAACGTTTACCTAATCCGATTTTTTTTTGTGATATTGAAGATGAAAAAAGCAGAATATAGTTGAGTAATATAAATTGTATTTATTTTCTAATCATGTGTTCGATTGGTTTCATTTATCAACCATTTCATACAATGAGATATATGTATATTTTTTTTAAAAGACTTTGTTTAAGAATCCTTTTGTGTATTTCAATAAAGCAGGGGACAGAGTTTCTATAAAATCGTTATGGGCGATGTACGAAAAATTACATTTTAGTGTTGTTTTGTGTCTTTCGATATTTATTTAAGCTTTTTTGCCGAGTTCACTTTTATTGATGTTTCCTTTCAAAGCACAAGTTATGTTTTTGTAATTTATAATAATATGCATTTTGTTTTCTCGTTACATTGTTATGTTATTATATTTTGGATTTCAGTTATATATGTGTGTAGCCATTTTGATTCCCCCAGTAAACTGCCAAATGGTTTTGATGTGTTGTAATAGAATGTATCTAGAAATTTACTGATCCTCATCGCCCAATTCGTGCTTAATCTTGGAGAAATCGAAATCTTCGCCTGTACCTCGCTTAAAAATATCCAAAACATCGAGGCAAGTTGTTTCAAAGTGTGTAGTAGCATCGTAAGATTCCGAAATAAAAATTTGAGAATCGTTACCATTGTCAATGGGTTCAAAATAGTCGGAGATCGAAATGAACTTTTGTGCAATAGGTTCTAATAGGTCCAATCCTGGCTTAATTTCATTTTCTGGTTGATCGGTTTCTACAGTTGTAGATACCATACCGACAAACCAGCCTTTGGCAGCAACTTGATGGGCATGGCTAACCAACGAAACATAAATATCTGATTTGCGACCGACTTGTTTTTGTGGAATGATAATTTGTGTGGACAAAGCATCTTTAGTATTACCAATTGGATGGTCCAACAAACAAATGCAGCGTATAACTTGGCCCTTCTTTCGTACCTGTAACACATTACAAAATACAAAACATTAGTTCTAACTAAATATAAACATGATATGCTATTAAATACTTTATCTGGAACATAGCTTGGGTCGCAATAGACCTGTTTGCATTTAGCAACTTCGTCACCGGAACGAACTCCAACGACCTTGCCACCCTCACCCAAGACAATTTCATCAATAGGCTTGTCCAACATGTATGTTCCGCCATAAATGGCCGACAGACGAGCAAAGCCTTGTGGCAATTCGCCCAAACCATACATGGGGTAGAGATATGGTGATTTTCCATATCTAGCCAAAGAATCTGAATACAATTTAATACGCTGAATGGTTTTAACGGCTGGCTCGTTCAAGTATTCATCATCCCGGAATAACGCCAACGCATGTCCAGTAAAATCTTGTGTGTTCTTGTCCAATCCGAATTTGTCGTATAGGGCTTGCATATTCGATTTGACAGGATCAAAGTCCTTCCAGGTCTTTGGATCATCTTCTTTAAAATCTTGGACATAAATTAAGAAGTTTCGAAAACGTCGTTTTTCAAACATTCCTGTAAAGCAAAAAAATAAAAGGGCATCAGTACAAATAATTTTAATACAGAAATTAAAAGGTGAAGGGGTTTTCATAAAAAATATTTTGTTGTTAACTACTTGTTTCTTTATAAATTATTTTTTTACAAAATTACTTTTAATGGAGTTTATCCGCTTTGAATAATTGAAATTCCGCGAGAATCTACTAATTACTTTTTTCGATATCATGAAGGAGAAAAAATGCCGCAGTTAAAAATTTGCATTCTTGCATGATCTGGAACAGAACATTTGTTTAACATAAAATAGTGAAAGAAGGTAGCATGGTGTAATTGTTACAAGGTGGGGTTTTTTGTTGTTCACATCAAGAACATCGAAATATCGAACAATATATTATTTTACAGTTAGTCTCATATGCTAAATCGGAAAATCCGTTCTCGGTTTTGTCATTTTCCATTGTATAATAATGTAACAATAAGCATTTGTTGTAAGTAATTCTAGTGTCAATGCCATTTTCTGGAATAATGCCAAATTGTTCGCTAATAAATTAAAAGGGACCTGACTATAATAGTTACTCAATGTCTATCTTGAATATTATTAATGTATGTTTGTACAATTAAAGAACAAAATCTTCGACTTTAGTTGACCTTTTCCCGGAAATGCCCATATAAAAGTTCTTCTTTTCGACGGCAAGTATGAACTGGAACATCTCAAAATTTCATCGCAATTATTGGTATGAACGTGGATTATATACTTCGCTCAATAAATAGCAAAATGACGGAACTGGGAATATTATTTTTTGGAAAGTCGCAAAGCAAAGATCTTCGCTGATTGAGTATAATTGAGTTTAACGCGTTAAACTGCGTAGTCTGCCAAAATTTGGCTCAAATGGTTTTTATATATATTTTTTTTTTAACCAATAGTTGGTTAAAAAAAAATTATATAAAAAAATTATATAAAAACCATTTGAGCCAAATTTTGGCAGACTACGCAAAGTGGTTCAGCAGTTATATAGCTTTTACCCAAGATTTAGGTAAATACTCGGGTATTTACCAATTTAAAATAAAATTTGAAAATATTTCGGCCCGTACCTAAATTCAGTGCCTTGCTTACTAAAAATACAAGGTATATTCATGGCCCAAATATCAGGTCACTCAAAAGGCTAATTCCTTCAAAAGTACAACACTGCACCTACATCTATGATACCGCCTACGGGGGGCAGAGCTGAATGCTAACGGACGCGTCCACAGGTTGCGGATAGTGGTCCAACGCCATTCGTTGGGTAACTGTGAATAACCAATAAACAGTCGCGGACAATCAGCGGGCTCAGGGGGAAAGTCTCGGAGGAAATGACCGAGTGCCTATGATCCCTGAGCCGACGAGGCGAGAAATGCGCCCCCTCTCTTATATCCATTTTAAAGGTCTGGGACACTACCTTCTTAAAGTGTCTCCCCTAACGCTGGGGTGTCATGCGACCTCGTGCCTATCAGTGTTCCACGGTTTGCAGTCAGGGTACCGACGGTATTAGAACGGAGCCTTGTCGATACCTGGGCGCCTCAACAAGTTTTTCAGGCTTAATTGCCAAGTCCTTACAATGGTAAGAGGCTATGCCATGGTCGACCTCAAAGCCTCACACACAGCACTTTCTATGGAGACGTCTTTTAATACCATGATGATGACAACATGGAAACTACGGTGATAAACACAGTAGCAACTATGGTGTCTCCTCTGAAGCAAGGAGTGTCCTCCCAGTTGCTGACTAGGGAAGTAAACCCTGGCGAGGTTGAGGATCTCGACTCAATATCCACGACCTGCAGTGACGTCGCGAGACTACTCAGGCAGTTGGCTTTCGAAACAGATGCTGACACCGATGAGACTCCCATCGTAAAGATGGATGACTCATCAGTACCATTATCTGCTAGGAGATCGCTGCCAAGAAAATGTATCGGAGAGCAGTAAATTACTGTAAACGATACATCGGACGGGACAGCGACTTCATCACGGGGAAGAGGTTCCTGTTAATCAAGAGGAACCTCAAATTCATTAGGAAGTTCTCTAGGAACTATCCTGATGATATTGAGAGGAACTTCTTGATTGATAGGATCCCCGACCCAGTACTAGGACCACAGCGGTAGTCCCTTCTAAGAAGGAGAAACCTGTTGATGGCCCTGGTACATCCAGGAAGCTGATGCCTGAGACGGATAAGCCCTCAGTACCCCCAAAGGGTACACTGAGTACTGAGACGTCCCAGACATCAGAATCCACAAAGACAGAAGGCAGGGGACTGTCAAAGTCGGCCCGAAGGAGAGCCCGTAAAAAGGCCTCCAAGAAGACCGATAAGACACAACCGCCCTCTGTCAATCCACCTTCTGCCGAATTGCCAAAGCTGACAGCCAAGGCGGTGACAATTGGGCAGTCGGCATACCTCTGCAGTAGTTGCTACCCCGGGTGCCAAATCTCGGCCACAGCTCACGGCTGTGAGGTTCTCGGAGGAGCAACAACCTGCTGCGAAGAGGCCCACGCAGTCGTCGGCCGTACAGAGCTCTTCTTCGTTTGCGTCGGTGGTAGCGTCGAAGGAGAAACCTGCCAAGAGCAGCGATTGTGGGGTGAACGCCAAACACGCTGCCTCGAAACAGGTAGCCCAGACACCTACAACTGCGCAAAGCGACAATGCTGATTCGAAAGAGGTTCCGGAAGATCTGGGGTAGCGATCATCGACCGAGCTGACCCCGACGGGTTCATCAGTGAGGATAGATGGGAGCTGGTCGACAGTTATCTGAAGGACCTCTTCCTATCCGACGAGGTTGATCGAGAGATCCTGCGGTTTGGCCTGACCTCCTCTTACAAAGGGGTAAAGGTTTTTGACTGTCGCTTCAGATTTCCTTAAGAAGACAATCAGATCAATCTGCATCACAGTAGAGCAGCAGCTGCTGAACTGCTACTCACCCTCTCTTCCTCAAACATCGACGTGGCGCTCATTCAGGAGCCTTATCTATACAAAGGCAAGGTGACTGGACTGAGCGACATAAAATACACGCTTTTGTCTACCTCCAATGGAGAGAAGGTGAAAACGTGTATTCTTGCTAAAAAAGAGCTAAATTTAATGCTTCTTTCTAATTCCAGCAATGGAGATATGACGACAGCAAGACTAGACAGAGGTACCTCGAAGCCACTGATAGTCTCTGCCGTCTATCTTCCCTATGAGGCTCCTGACCCACCCGGTACTGTTGTATGCCGCCTATTGGAGGAGATGGGCAGAGTTGGTGATATCATCATCGGATGTGACGCCAACGCACATCACTTCCATTGGGGAAGCAGCAACACAAATACAAGAGGTGAGTCCATTTTCGAGTTTATACTTAGCTATAATCTTAGAATTTGTAATAGAGGCAATACACCAACTTTTGTAAATAGGGTAAGAGGTGAAGTCATCTACATAACCCTCACAAATATGGACGACTCTGGGGTCATAAACTGGGAGGTGTCTGAGAAATGCTCCTTTTCGGATCTTATATATAGGAATCCTCGGAAGACGAACTGGGACAAATTCAAAGCTAAAACAGCAGTCTCTATCCGGGAACGTAATGATCTCAAAACGACTGAGGATATTGAATTAGCTGTGAAAAATATCACGGCCACTCTTCTGAAGAGCTATGAGGCTTCCTGTTCCCTAACATACCCTGGGAAGAAATCTCAGCCGGAATGGTGGTCACAAGACCTTGCAACCTTGCGGAAGGCTGCAAGGAAAGCTTATAATAGAGCTAGTAAGACAAAGCTCAGTACAGATTCGGATGTTTATAAAAGACAATTCAATAGGTACAAGGGCGAAATCAAGAAAGCTAAACGTGAGTCTTGGGTCTGCTATGGTGAGTCGATCGAAGGAGTCAACGAAGCGGCCAGATTCCGCAGAGTACTATCTAAGGATCCAAAATCCATAGGATGTATTAAGCGAAGTGATGGTACGTGGACAAACTCTGGTAGTGAGACTCTTGATCTTCTATCATCAACCCACTTTCCTGGTTGCAAGGACTATAGGGAAGATGCGCAGTGTGTGCATCAGCCTACAATTCGGACGAAGGCAGAGGAGAAGATGATAGAAGATACTATACGATACCCAAAACTGATATGGGCGATAAACAGTTTTCAACCCTATAAATCTCCTGGTCCAGATGGTATAATACCGGCCATGCTGCAACACGCAGATGAACGTACAATATCATTTCTGCAGGACATTTTTAGAGCTTGTTTACTTCTGTCGTACATACCAAGTCTATGGAAAGAGGTTACCGTGACCGTCATCCCGAAAGCCGGGAAGCCGAGTCATACGCTACCTAAAGACTATAGACCGATTAGCCTTTCTTCCTTTCTACTAAAAACTTTAGAAAGGTTATAGACCCAGAAATTAGAAATACCATTGACCGTAGTAAACTTAGTAAATCCCAGCATGCCTACCCCAAAGGCATGAGTGCAGAGCTGTATCCACAGGCAGCCTTGAATGCAATCTTGAATCTCCAACCATTGGATATTCTGATTAATTTCCAGGAGGCCAGGTGTGCCCTGAGGCTCCGGGAAACAGATGCCTTGAAATCGCTGAACTATGGTCATGCTAGGATGCTGGCATAACATAACGCCAGGTTATGACCTCTTTAGGGGGATAGTCATATCACTGATTATATTCCCCCCATAGGGACTTTAATGACATCAAAGTTAAATTTCCTAGTAGGGAATCCTGGACTATTGGCTCCCTACCTCTGCCAGGTCTGTCAATCTTCACAGACGGGTCCAAGATGGAGGAAGGCACTGGCGCAGGCGTCTACTGTAGGGAATTATGTATACAGAACTCATAAACTCAACAATGACAGTAGCGTTTTTCAAGCACAGATTCTCGCAATCTCGAAAGCGGCCGAGATAGTAAAAGCACTTAATGCCGACATTACGGGACCGGTGACTATTTATGTAGATAGTCAGGCGGCCCTGAAAGCGGTGAAGTCGCATACTATAAACTCGAAAGCAGTTCATGATTGTAAGACCGTTCTGAATGATATACGACAGACAGTTGGGCTATGTTGGGGTCCAGGAAATAACGACATTGAAGGGAATGAGATAGCCGACGAGCTTGCTCGAGGGGGGTCACAGTCGTCCAGTCTTCTGATTGAGAGATCTGTGAAACCCCCCATTAGCTATTTCATTTGCAGAATCCGTGGGGATTATTACTGGTCACTGCAAAGTTAGATCTCTCACTCCTAAGTGGGACTCCAGTGGAGAGGATTACTGTCGTCTATGTGAGGACGAAGAAGAACTGGAAACAATTGAGCACATCCTCTGCAAATGTCCATCGCTGATCAGCAGAAGATATAAACAGTTTGGATGTTATGAAATTGATAATCTAGTCTTCTTCTCCAAAATAAACCCAACCAAATTCTAGGCTTTGTCAAAAAATTGACTTGGCTAAAATAATCTCTCTTCCGCCCCTTCTTCTCACTATTTTTCTCTCTATTCTTCCACTATCTTTTTTTTTCTTCTTTTCGTTATAGGTACACTTATACATAAAGGATGATCACAATTGACATAGTTTCCGAGTGGACGGTTGTTACAACAACCGTACATCCCTAACCTAACATAATACAAGGTAGGGTAGCTTGAGGTGAATAACAAAAAAAAACAACTATGAACGTGTGGCTTCTTCTGCCAAAAATAAATATAAAATAAATAAATAACAAGTGTTTGTGTTTATTTGCCATTTTTTCAACACAAAACTAAAAACGCGAAAAATTAATGAAAGGTTATGATTTTTCCCAAAATCCAGTAGGGTATACCATCAAATGTTTGTTTCATCCATAACAAAGTAATTACTTCCAGACGAACATGTTAAAAACATAATTTCCATTTCAATTAAATTTGAATATATTTTAATTTATTTAACATAGTATTCAAAAAATTACACACACACATACACAAAATATGTATTTTGATTTGATGGAACAAGCCACCTTTAGAAAAAATTGTAATCAGTTGGTAGCTGTGCCCCACCTTGTAATAATTATACCATACCATATTCACCTCAAAAGTTAAATACATGTATTTCAATGAATGTTACCAAAATACGCATTGCGTATGTTCACGTAGCGAACATGGTTTTTAAATAATAAAGATAGTGAATGTGTTGCTGTGGGTCTCTTGTGTAGAAGAGAGAACATTTAGTTAAACAGGGATCTATTTTTGTCTACAGTCCACTTGAGATAAGAGATTATTTTGGTAAAATGTTTGTACACATTAATAAGATAGGAGTTTTCTATTGCCACATGTGGTATGTTTGGGTGAGATTACGGGGATTAATCTTCACTACAGACTGATAAGTATGTGTAACGTGCTTGCCACATTGAGATAAAGAATTGTGTGTGTCCACTACATGTGTTATGGCAGATGCACTCTCTCTCTTTTACACATTAGTCTAAGATAGGTTAAGTCATATTGTAATAATTAGTTCTTAAGAAACCCTTTTTTATATTAATAAATTAGTGTGTAAATGCACCACAAACAATACAGAAGTGCTTTCACTCCGCGGACAGTATCCGCGTAAGATCCCTAGTTTTTCAGCGAATAAAAATATAAAGCAAAGTTTCGCCGTTTTCAATTTATTGAATTTAGGTACGGGCCTTACAGAAACAGGTTGTTATATAAATGAAATGAAAAAAGGAAAAAAATTTCCCTCCTTAAATATATATATATATATATAGGAATTTTCGGCAAAAGGTAAACCAATTTCGGAGAATTAGTTTTTTTAACTTTGCTTAAATTTCAGAGAATTAGTTTCTTTAACTTTGCCTAAATACGCGAAGTAACGGCAAAACGTATAAAGAAAGACCACATTCGTCATTTTTTCTTCTTGTTCTTAGCATAAATACTAATTTAATGACTATAAATGTAGACACTGCCGAAACAAAAACTGTAGAATCAAAAATGTAACGTGAGTGACCGACAAAAATCCCTCGCAAATAAGTAGTATGCCAAATTTTGAAAGTGCAATAATAATGCTTGATATCTCTTATTCATGTAAAGAATATTTAAAGTTCAAAATATTCATACAATTCGCAGAGTTTTCCCATTTTTAGCAATGATGTCTAAATACATGTATATTTGAAGTCGCATGAATGACCGCTCTTTTGTGGCTTTTATCTCAAAAGTTAAAAACCGGAGGCTCCCAATTTCTTTTTACCACTGATAGTACTCTTAAAGTTGTACAAAAAGTATTAAGGGAGAATTGTAAAAAATGTAATTGTTTTTTATTTAACATTTAAATTTTTATTTTTGATTCTAATGAAGTGCCCATATGTTTTTTTTGTTTTTAAGAATATGCTAAATTTGTGAAAGAATACGTTATTAGAATGAGATGAAACTCGTAAAAGATCTTCCAAAAAAGTTTTTTTCCAATTCTTAGAATTACAATTACAAATATTGATTGTAAGGTGCACTGTATATATATTTGTTAAGGGGACCTCCCCATTCTCGGGGTCAAAAAAAAATATTTAATTCGAATCTACACTAATTCAAGATTATCCCTACAAAATTGCATGTGAAAATCTCAAGAACTCTTGAAGATATAGCCGATTTATTGAGTCAGCATCAAATGACGGCTAAAGGGCTTTTCAAACTTTAAACGCGTTGTTCTCTTTTGCGAATGACGGGCACGATAACACAAAAACTAATAACCCAATCGATTCCAATTTTTTACACATTTCTCTGTGAGTGTATAGCTATCGTATGAACTAGGATAAAGCCAATCGGTTAATATATTAAACAACAACAAAACAATTGCAAAATTTTTTGTAAATTATTTTTCTTCTCTTTTAAATCTTCAAATATATATGTCCAAAGTTACAAACCTTAACAAGCATTGGTATTGATTTACCAGCCCATTGAAAATCTTGAAAAAATAAAATCGAGAATGGGAGGGGTTCCCTTAAATGCCTATCCATTTGATAACTTTTAGTTTATCTGCGGTATTAGCAAAGCATGAACAACTTTACATTTTACTTGAAAGGGTAGATTTAAGTCTGAAGCATAAATTGTGCGTAATAAAGATAAAATCTTACCCTTCAATAAGACTGGTATAATGGAAATTTCCATCACTATGCAAAGAATCAAACAATATACCACTAACAACAGAATAAACGTAGGTAAATGGGTGTGTCGACCAGTAACATTTTATAACACACAGCTAAGATGCTCTTGTTCGACTCAGGACTCTTCAAATTTTCAAAACGTGAAAATATTTTCCAAAATGTTTCCAAAAAAAATTCCAGTTTGACAAATATTGAAGATGTTGTGTTAAGTATCATCATACTCATCATCATACTAAAAAATTGTTTTCAATTTAGATAAATTAAAAATGTTTAGCTGTAAATGGTTTTATCGTCGCTTGATTTAGTAAATCGAAGCCTGAAGAGCATACTTTAAACAAATGTATCGAATTGTGTTCAGTTTATATATGTAGTTGAAAATTCAGTTAAATGACACATAATATTAAAAAAAAGTGGTAAAAAACGTCATCGTTTAAAATAGATTTTATAAAATAAATATTCGCATTGTTAGGCGAAAAGGGAAATTTCCGAAAATGTTAGGGGAAAGTTATAAATATGAACATAAACTAAACGAATGGGCAGCCATATTACTTTACAAAATATGTATAATACACATGGTTTCCCAACGTAACAATAATTAACTAAAATTTAGTCCATTGCCCTGTATGTAGACAATGTTTTCTCTGTAACAAACAGATTACACCACAATCAAACGAACGTATCCATACGAACACCGTATGAAAATATGTACATTACTAGAGGATAGCTTTCACCAGTTTAGCTACACCATACATCAAGTTTCTGTACACAGAATTAATGCAACTACCATAAATAGGTAGGTTAAAAATAAAAATTGTCCTCAAATTCACAGGACATTATTTTTGAATTATGTTTTCATGTTAATTTTTTAATCATTTGAAATAAGATTATGTCCCTTGAATAAGCTCCAGGATATATATTTCGAAAATATTTAATTGACAAACTGTATAAACTTCGTTTTAATAATAAACCTTACATTGGGAAGAAAATATCTATTAATTTAGAAACTTTTAAAGAATATAAACTCTTAAATAGCAGTGAGTTAAACTAAAATTAGATAACAGTTGTCTACAAACAAGATCTGCTAAACAAATTTTGATCCTTCTCTGAACCCCGTCGTCAGTATTCAAAAAATACACAAAAAGTATATGTGCGCAATAAAATGAAAAATGTCATTGCTACTTCAGTCCTCGTTCGGGTGTTTGTATACGTAAAATCACAATTTCATTTCCATCTGTTTCTGGAACAAATTTGCGATAATAAAACCCTATACTTGACAAGTAAAATGAGCAATGGTTTTACCATTGATTTAGTAATTAATATATTTATTTCGTATAATTTTCATTGTTCCAAATCAAATTCCCCAGAGATAAAAAATAAAAGCACAATGAAAACGATTGAATCTCGCCACAAAAGAACAATGAACGAATGTTAAATGAAAGAAAAATTGCAATAATTGTTAACATTCACACACATACACTTGGTTTAGCGCACAGTCATCTCTACGCTTTTATGTATAATTTTTCAATGTTCGTTAACGCTACTATAAAATACGTGTCAAAAATTGTGAGAAGGGGGCAGAAGATGAACTAAACTTACATACTTTGTACATATCAACTAATTACAAAATGTATATTTACAATCTGACGATAATAATTTCGAAGAAAAATAAATTATATCAAATATCTACTTACCCATTAAATCGGATGCCAAAGCTTCCTTTTGATCAACGGGAACCTTTGCAATTTTTCCTCCCTTATAGACGTAACTACCCTCGATGGACTTAAATTCGAGGTAACGGGTGACGCCCGTATGTATTAACAATTTTACCAGCTGTCCATTAGCCATTAAGAATTTTGGAATTAAGTCCACGTTCCAATCGCGGCCGCGCCCATATTTATCACCGGGGACCTCGATATTAAAACGTTGGAAAAGTTCTTCCAAAGGTGTTATAGAAGCCGATTCACCACCATAGTACTTGTTTCGGTCGATATGCAATACCTTCTTGCCAGACACGGAAAGCATACCACTTAAAATGCACTCCTTTAGACCGGTTCCCAAAACAATTGCATCGTATTCTTCATTCATTTTGTTCTTTGTTTAAGAATTAATACGGAAAAGAATTTCGTTTGCAATCAGCTACTTTTTGTTGAAACGAAAAAGACCACCGTCCTTTCACCGAACACTGCTGCTTTTGTAAACGTTCAATAAAATTTTTCTATTCGTTTTTCAATTCACATCGTTTCACATCACAATTATTCGCAATAGTGTCATCACGTATCGCTACAAGTTATTGCATACGTATCGTACAAGAAGTTAAGTAAGTAAGTAAATTTTTTTTATTGAGTCTTCTTCTTATTTCGATAACATGGTTAATGTAAAGTGATGACATGATAATTTAGAACTATATTTGTCTTATTCTAATCCAATAATTATGTTATCGAAAAGAAGAAGAGACTCAATAAATTTACTTACTTACTTACTTAATCCAATAATTAAATACATTGATGCTACATGCTTAAAATTAATCTACGAATATGCGTACGTGCAAAATGAATGAAGAGCAAGGCTTGCTCACGGCCTTAACATTTTTTTAACAGAGCGTGTGTGTCTGTAGATAATAAATTACTTAAAAATACAAAACAATTAAAAAGAGATAACAAGAGACTGTTAATATCTTTATCAAACAGCGAGTATTTTAGATGAACATATGGTTAAAAAAGTATGTATGTGTAAATATCACAGATGGTGTTTAGAAAATATATGTCAAAACAAAACACATAAATTAAAACGAAAGATCATAACTCAAAAATTGAATTTATAAATATAATGTTTAGCCTGGGCTCTTTGTGTTGGCTTATAAAAATCAGGTACATTACAATTGTCTGGATCAATGTCGAGGCTTTCGTTGATAATGCTCACAACAAGAAGTTAAGTTGAGGTGCCTTTAGATAGTACAATTTTCAATTTCTTGTCTGTTCACGTACACCAAATATTGATAGAAATTTGGTATGATCTTGTACTGTAATAATCTACTAATTTTTACTATTTTTGTCAATATCCATGGTCCAATTATACAAGGTAACTGTAATACTCAGCTAATATAATTCCAACGTAATACTTGAGTCAATTTGAATATGAAAAATTATGTTGATATTGATATTATTCTTTATTAAATTTAATTCCGTACACAATTTAATTAATTTGCTACCTGGGAAAAATTTCGTAATTAATTTAATCCATTTGCCTACTGAGAAAGTTTGAAGCACTAAATCTGTTTTCATAAAATAATTCCCGATTTCTAGCATTTTCATATGTGGCTCGATTACAAGCAATGTTTAGGTGCGATGTAGTTATATATTTGATAGATTTTCATTCATGATTTTTCAATTTTATTCTGTAAATTTGAACATTTTGAAGATAAATAGAATTTATTGGTATTTCGTATGTTTTGTTTACATTTGTTCGACATATCAAACTGGCACAAGTGTTACATCCAGGGCTGCCAGATTTTTTTTTGGAAAAATCGTCAAAATGACGATTTTTTTTATCAAAAATCGTCAAAAATTTAAATACTCACATTTAGATATATTTAAATATATTTTTTTTATTAAAATGAACATAAAGGAGGTATTCAATTTATTAAACACGTTTTTTAAAGCTAATCAAGAAATTCATTTATTTTACAAATATTTGAATAGTCATTTCGACTTTAATAAAGTCATTCATTTTGAAAAGAAATATTTGTGGTAATCATTTTCAACAAGTCGGTTTTAATTAATGTATCATAACAATTTTTTTTGTTAACTTTTAAATAATCTTTGGTATAAATTTCTCCATTGAATTTCGACTTTTCGTTTTATTAAGATTTATTTGGCTGAAAACACGCTCAACATTTGCTGAGGAATGGGGTAATACCAGTACCTTCCGTAAAAATTTAGTTATAGGAAAAACATATGAACCATCACCACGTTTCAAATCAAATATTGCATTCCAAAAACGAAATAAATCGGTTTCATCATTTTCACAAATGTTATCAAAATCAAACAACCGTAGTTTGAAAAAAATGAATTATTCTTTTCATTACTAATATACGTGGGACTTATCATAGATACAATTTTATAAATGCTTTCAAATCGAATCTTTTTAAAATTGTAATAACTTTGTATAAATTGAAACTTAAATTTAATATAACAACGTTTCCGTTCACCAATTTTCTTCAATTTGCCCGTGTCAAAAACCAACAACCGTTAACTTTTATTTGTTTTGTTGCTGCCTACCCAGAGAACGGCACAGCTGATTGGTAGTTTTTCATCTATCTGGGTAAAAGTAAACTGTTGTTGGCTTTGTAACAGTCACATATGCACACACACATATGCCAAATATTCAAATTCTTTTTACTTTTTCTTTCGCTTTATACATTTTTGATGTTGCCAGAACAAAAAGAACCCAAATATTGCAATATTACTAAAATGACCAAAAATCGTCATTTTTTGGGCAAAAATCGTCAAATCGTCATTTTTCAATTTTTGACCAAAAAATCGTCAAAATGACGATAAATCGTCAAATCTGGCAGCCCTGGTTACATCCCGCTTGTTCGACAAAACATCAATTGACGGATTTTCTGTAGTAATTTCGTCGATTACTTCCTCCAGTACTTACTTTTGCATCCACTAGTATAATACGAATGATACTATTGATACTATTCATAGCAAGGTAGATGTATTAGGTAGTCGCATGGACCCAGTTATTTGTAACATTAAATGTCAAAACAAATTGTTGTAAATTTTAATTCGCATTAAATAAAAAAATAAAAAATATATATTTTTTTAAATAACATTTGAATTTCGTGAATTTTTCCAATTTTACTTCGAGAGAACAATAGAAATTCGGCAGTAAACAAGTATTAGAGATTTTTAAAACAAAATCTTGGTCAATTTGACCCGCTAAATATTGACCGATCGTCCCGAAAACATCCGTACTTATTCGGTGGCCAGACCCACCTTCTGCGCATAATTTCGTGGTTTTCGGGTCATAATTGTGGTCTGTAAATATAACCAATCACTACCTATACCAATAGAAGCCGTCTTAAACAAGAACCGAATCTACATGCAAAATATCCAGAATTCAACAATGGAAATTATTGAAAGATGCCGACACAGAAAATTTGTTTTCAGATAATAGTTTTCAGGCATTTCACTCGGGTCGTTATAATCTGATTACCAATTATAATGGACAGAGAGATGATAGTTGAGAGATGATACACGATATACGAAAAGGATCTAGAATCAATATATCATGCAGCTACAAACTCTTGACGCATTAAAGCATTTTGTTCTGATTGGCTGAATCATATTTGCTTAAATTTTGAAATGTCAATGCGAATTGAATTTTATTTGCCTTGTTTATAAATTTTGACATATAATGTTACCAAAAAGTTGCTTTGTGTAGTAATTCGCCGATGCGACTACCTAATATATGTGCCTTGATTCATAGCATACACCATTAACCCTTTCAGTGTCAAAATTTTTTTTGTTCGAAAAAAAATCTAAAATTTTGTACTTAGAATCATATAAAGGCATAGAGTTTAAAAAAAGCAATTTTCATTTTAACCCTCGGACAGTTTCTTCTGTTTTCAGCAAAAACAAAAACATCAATGTTAACGGTACATAGGATAACCGAAAATTCGCAAAGAGAAATGTCGAATATGTTCGACAAAAACACTGAAAGGGTTAATGATTTTTATTTAAGGGTATGTACTTATTTCAGTACCCCAAAGTAATAGTACGTTTACATTGTATCGGATTTCGTTAACCCAGTGGGTTTCAATTGTCAATTCCATTGTATACAGGCCAAATAAATCCTCATAGAGTAGGTTAACCCGATAAAAAGTTCTAATGTAAATGCCGTTTAAGTACACATATTCTTTTGTTTCTCTTTGTTTGGTCCCGTTATTTTCTGGAATTTGCGTGATGCAAAAAAATATTGGTGGTTGAAAAATTTCATTCTTTTTCTGACAAATGAAAAGTAATGTTATAAATTGTGTGTGTTCCCAGTGAAATTTAAGTATTTTGTGTGTTTAAAGGTAAGCAAAATGCACACAGATAATTCTTTTTATTTATATAATCTTTATTTATTTATATAATATTCTTTGCCAAATTTCCAAAAAAAGAATAAATAAATAAAATAAAACACGTGACTTAAAGTATTTCTTTAAATTTGTATTTAATGAATTATTTCCAATTATAAGTGATTCTAATTTCAGACATACCTATCGCAAACTTTAACATGAATGAGGCTATACAAAAATTTATGACGTCAAAAATTATTTAACGTTCCTCAAGGTAAATTTTTATAGAGAAATTTTGCAACTTCTAAATGTTTCCATTTCCAAAAACCATTAATACTCCTAGATGTGTATTTTCGATAATATATAACGCGACGGATGGCTCAACGCGAGCATTCTGCTTAGCCCTTTAATTCTATGGTATAAGTACTTACGTAATTTTGCAGTTACTTTGTATAATTGTACCATAGTATCCATTCTTGATATAAATAAATAATATCAGTATGTAATTATACATGGTAGCTTTTGTCAGAAAGGAGAAAATACACATCTACCTTATGGGCAATAATGTCAGAATACATGAAAACAAATGAAACAAGTCGTTTCGCGAAAAATGAATGAAATGTCAGGTTTTTATCAAAATCGAGGTGGGGATATGATTTACATGTTGATTCATTCACAAATCATAAATTTCTTCTTACAATTTTAACTTATATTGTAGCATACTTTTAGGGGAAGTGGTTAATTTTTTGCTGTAAAAGAAGGGTCTAATCATTAGACTCTAATGTATTAGTATGATAATTAAATTTCAAGAACTTTTAATGACATAGAAAGTGTCAAAAGGAACACAACTACTATAAATAACTGTAAATACTTGGTAGTTGTACAGACTGGTTATTCATTCTTTTTTCTGGTTACCGGTTACACGAAAGAGAATAGCAACCAAATATCAACAATCAGATTGAGGTCGGCTGTTGACAAGAACACGCGTATGAGTGAAGAAATTAGGTTTTTTGTTTTTGCAATAAAATTACATACATCAGAATAGTGAAAACAATATATCGAATTATTTTATATTGAAAAATAAACAAAAATCCGCAAATAACTTGATTCGAAAACGTGATTTATACTTAATGAAATCAATGAAGAAAATCTCGCACTGCAAGTGGTTCTCATTCGTTCGTTTAATTAAAGTGAGAGATATATGTATATATGTAATGTGTATAAGTTAATGAAATATAAAAATAAACAATTCAACCATAAAAAACGAGTCAAAGAAGTGAACAACAGAAATTACAAACGAAGAAAAGAATAAGAAAATCGTCGAAATTTTTCTTATTGCCAAAAATAGGTAATACTAAAAACTGGCGACGTATAGTTATTTTTTTATCGATCTCATTGAAAAATTAGCTACACAAAGACAATTGTATATACGTGTTCCTACAGCAGTTTGGAATATTAGCTTCTAAGATAAAGCAAGTACACAACTCAATTGCCAATAACTAATAAGAAAAACCAGTCCACGAAGCAAGCTCTCACACAAAGCTAAAGGCAAAACAAAGCGAAAAATCGTTTGCAGTGGAAGAACCAGTTGTCGTTTTGCTGCTTACCATGTAGAATTTTAGAAAACAACGACAACGACATCTCACGATACCCAATATATGTACATTTGGCGAATTCAAACTTTATCTTGAATGCCTCTGAAGTCGGCCTCCATTGCAGTGCATTGAAACCTCTGTCATAACCATCGTCCGCTGGTTGTTGTGTTATTTATACTTTCATTTTAGACGTTTTGCACCCATTGTAAATTGATTCCAAGTAACTTTGGCATACAAGAAATATAAATTCGAATATATATTAGGTATATATATATATATATATATATTTATATGTTATTCTCAACGGTCGTTGATAAATATTGGGATATTACAAATAAGTTTTATATGTGTTTTAATATTGAAGATAATATTACACAAGGAAACATATATGTAAATAAACAACAGTTCAGCTAGAGCTCAATAATTAGTTTTTGGAGTTGACACAATTACCACAAAATGTTTTTTTTGGTGCGAAATTTAATTATTCAAATATGATTAATTATTTAAATGTTTGCATTTTTGGGCAACTCTCCCAATAGTCTCACGTTTTTAACTTTGACCGAGACCTCCTTCTATGGACAGGTGCAAATTTTTGGCTAAGCATTAGAGTCATTTCTCTCCTATGGATAGGTGCAGATTTTGGCTACGCATAAGTCATTTTTACGTGACACAGATATTAAATAAAAAATTCTATATTTTTGGGACATATAAAACTTATCATTTCCCGCAAAAAAAAAAAATGATGTTATAATCCGAAAATAAAAGTTTACTTATAGTAAAAATTTCATCTTTTCAATGTTGTTAAAATTTTAAGGTATTGAAAATAAAGCCAATAATTCTATAAAGTGAATTTTTTCAAGGTTGTTAGAATTGGTTTTTTGAATCCGAAGTACCAAACAATATTAACAACAATACTATATATTTTTTAATTCTTAATTGAAACATGAAACATGAACAATCGATAGTTACTCAACTCAAGAACAGCTGTACGGATTTTGCTGCTTTGTACCAATTCGAAATTAAAAACCAGTAAGGAAAGCAGTAAAGTCGGACAGGGCCGACTATATATCTGAACCGATTTCAAGGAAACTTATCAGAGATTAATTTTTATTAACTTCAGTACGTTGTGTCAATCGGCCTAGCTATGGATCTTTAGTGCACCATTTACCTAAAATCGGGCGAAACTATACATGGGAGCTATATCTAAATCTATACCGATTTTCACGAAACTTAGCACACATCATTCTAGACTTAATTCAGTACGCTATGCAAAAATTCGTGCAAATCGAAAGATTTTTAGGGACTTTGATGCACTTTGGTTCAAGGAAACTTATTAGAGATTAAGGGGCGGTAGTACAAAATGAAAAATTTCGCTGCTGCAAACATAAATTTACTGTGAAAAAAAATCATTTCGCCCCCCTGCGTACGTCCCTGATGGGAGCTATATCTAAATCTGAACCGATTTTCACGAAACTTGGCACACATCATTCTAGACTTAATTCAGTACACTATGCAAAAATTCGTGCAAATCGTAAGATTTTTAGGGACTTTTCACGAAACTTAGCACACATCATTACAGACTTAATTCAGTACGCTATACCAAAATTCGTGCAAATCGAAAGATTTTCTGGGACTTTGGTGAACCATTTACCAAAAATCGGGCGAAACTATATATGGGAGCTATATCTAAATCTGAACCGATTTTCACGAAACTTAGCACACATCATTCTACCATTAATTAAGTACGCTGTGCAAAAATTTGTGCAAATAGAAAGATTTTTAGGGGCTTTAGTGCACCATTTACCTAAAATCGGGCGAAACTATATATGGGAGCTATATCTAAATCTGAACCGATTTTCACGAAACTTGGCACACATCATTATAGGCTTAATTCAGTACGCTATGCAAAAATTCGTGCAAATCGAATGATTTGCAGGGTCTAAAGTCCGTAAATCGGACAAAAATATATATGGGAGCTATATCTAAATCTGAACCGATTTTTCCCAATTTCAATAGGGTTCGTCCTTGGGCCAAATAAATTTCAGCCAAATCGGATTATAAATGCGACCTGTACTTTGTTTACAATTTATATATATATGGGAGCTATATCTAAATCTGAACCGATTTTTCCCAATTTCAATAGGGTTCGTCCTTGGGCCAAATAAATTTCAGCCAAATCGGATTATAAATGCGACCTGTACTTTGTTTACAATTTAACATCAACAGACGGACGGACATGCATAAATCGACTCAGAAAGTGATTCTATGCATATTTGCCTGTTACAAACATATGCACAAAGACATATACCACAGTGTGGTGAAGGGTATAATGACGGTCTATATCGACGATAACTAAAAGTGGGTTCCCCAGCATATATAAATGTCATCTATTAAAGAAAAAAAAACACCATTGGATGAGCATTCAGGAGGTTTTTTTTATCCACTGAGTAAGGTCAAAACATAGCCTATTTATACGAATGAGTCTTTTACAGCCACATTGGTATTGGTGAAAGATGTGACTACGACCAATAACATTCATTCCTAAAAGGGCGCAAATCTTTATATGGGATATTGCAAAACTGTATTTATATCGGTTAGAAAATATGACTAAGACTATCAGTACACCTATAGTCTAAGACAATTAAAAAGCAGAAATCCCTGCTTCAAAATGTCAGTATCGGTTTTGGGGAACATCATAGATTAAAAAATTTTGCCTATGGTGTAATCTTCAATTTATACGTGTGGGCATTGTGTATAGTATAGCCACAAATCAGGAAAGAACACACAAAATCTTGCTGGCTTCAACACATTTTCACCCATTTTTTACATTATTAAGAGCACAGCATCCACGTAACCTATTATTTATTATCGCTATTATAGGACTATATGGATTTTTTTTTGATATTTACCGTTATGGCGAACCTCACAAACGACCCTGAACTTGAAATACTTTAAAACTGTTTTGAATATTCCCATATATACAAGCATGCATATAAAATAAGCTGCCTATTTCTGGACATCAGTTTCCGTGAATTTGTACGCTTTCCCTTTAAAGTAATTCTGAACAACAACCTGCAGTGATTTTAAATATTTGTATGAAAAATATTTCCACAATAGTTCTTCTATGACTATTTTGAATATTATAAATGGTTTTATGTTTCTTTTTAACTAAAAAAATGCAATTAAAAATCCATGTTTTATGCAATTTGGAGACGGAATTAAGACATTTTGTGTGGGGATCAGCTTTTCCAGAAAAAATGTGGAAAATTATGGAAGAACAACAATAAAAATATTTAAAAATATTTATTTCCCAGTTTATCAATATTCATCTACATGTTTTCAATAAGGACGAAATTATGGAAATGAAGCTTTTAAAATAAAGAAATCAACTATTTATTTTGTACCAGTAATATATATAGGTATATATTTGGTTTCAAATTGTTAAATCTGTTTTTATTTGTGATAATAGCGGCATTAAAAATCTTAGAAGCTAAATGTTTTTAATTGCTGTAGATAAATTCCACATATCATTTAAACATATATCTCTATAGCTTAAACTAACACTAACATTTATTACCTTTTACAGATTAATACCCATATGGAGTCAACTATAAATAATCAAAATGTGTTCGGTTACATTAAAGTTTACTAAAACGATGTAAAAAATGTGTTATGATCGTTTATGCGTTTTATAGAAAAAAACTTTTTTTAATCATTTTTGAAACTAATGGTGTCTTGTGAAAATGCCTTCTGCAAATACCGAAGAATTGAGGCGAAAGTTCACAGTTGTTCAACAACAAAGATCAGCACCCCCAGGGTTTTCAGCACCAGGTGCTGGAGTTGCTTCAAATTCATCGTCAGTTTACGATCCTCTAAACGCTTCATCTATTCCTTTAAGCTGTACAAATGCGGGATTCTTGACTGTCCAAGAGCCCGAAAGAACATACGTATTCCCGGGTCCAGGCATGCTTGGTGGAAATGTCATCAGTAGTACGACAACCGGTATACCAGGAGTGGCGATTATTAACCCAGCTCCTAATTCGTTAGGCGTAACTTTAGCGACGGGCCGCGGTCATGCTCGTTCCGTTAGCCATGGTGGTGGTGCTATCCTAGGTCCCAGCGGTCGCCCTATAAAATCTGCTTTGAAAGGACACCAAAGGGCTTTTTCACAAGGTCAAATTACGGATTCACCTGGTGCCACAAACACTCCTAGGGGTCACAGTAGGGTAGGGTCGAAAACTGATTTCATATTGCCACCCGGCCATAAAGAGGAAAATGAAACGCGTGAATTCGGACCCTCCGCACCATCTTCAGCGACCGGTCGTGGTCATTCTCGGCAAGCTTCTCGTTCCGAATCAATATATACACTGCGTCGCTCTGAAACTCCACCTTGGTGGAAACGTATTGGAATATGTCAAGCAGAAAAATGTGAAGAACGCACATATCGTATTGTAGTGCCAAATCATACCGTTCCGCCGAAAACACCAAAACGTGACCATCCAAATGGTCACTTTGTCGGTAATAAAATACGCACTACCAAGTATACCCTGCTCTCGTTTATACCGAAAAATTTGCTCGAACAATTTCACCGTGTAGCAAATTTATATTTTATTTTCATAGTCTTACTCAATTGGTTTCCTGCCATTAATGCATTTGGCAAGGAAGTTGCCATGATACCGGTCTTATTTGTTTTGGGTGTAACTGCTGTGAAGGACTTGTTTGAGGATCGTCGACGGAGATTTTCCGATAAAAGGATAAACAATTCAACATGTCGCGTGTATGATGGGTAAGTAGTTCTAGAAAATGTTTTTTCTTTATTATTTTTTAAAATGCGATATGGTAAACCGCTGACTAAAGTCAGGAAGTAGTGTTCGACTTTGTATCAATAGAATGAGTTTTGCCATGTTTCATTCGAAATGAACAAAAATTCATGGACAGAAAATGATTCTATGTCTATTCTGAAACGTACCTATGGATCTACCTTGTTTCTTTTTGTATGTAACAACATATGCCAAAAAACATGATACTCTTAATCATAATGTGGAGTAAGTTATAAAAATAATGTTGAAAAATGTTTGAATAGGGAAAGGAATATATTAAAATCGACATATTTCTACATATTACTGAATCATATTCCGATTTCACGACAGAGGCGTATACGATCTGAAACGCCCAAGACTTTTTCGCCCAACATCTGTCACCTCAGCCTAATGTTGTCTGCTACAACAACGACTGAGGCATATTTATTTTTTATGTCATATTTATTTTGAGTTTAACACAAAAAGTGACACAAACTGTACCCTTTATTATGCTGTATGTAATAAATACAGTTTGTAAATTCATTGTTACTGTCTAAATCAAATCAAATTAAACTCTCCACATCGATCCTAAATCATAATAAATCATTATTTATACAACCATTAATGGTTGAAGGACTATCATTTAACAAGTAGCTCCTATTTAATTAACATGCGGACTGTTGTCGCTGTCACCACACATGTATTATCATACATTACCTACAAAACCTTTCATAATAAATATATAAATACATATCTATACATGAACAAACATACGTACATGTATATGGTTCTGTTAAAGCCGTGTATTATGACCCAATTTATTGTCGGTTAACAAATGCTAATGCACTACAATTCCTGTCGGCCAACAAACATAATTAAGGCGTAAGCACAACAATGTAGCTACTTTGAAATATTACAGAATGCTACATTTACACAATTTATGAAATAATTGATATATATGTACAGTATAAACTTAATAATCCGGACCTTGACAATCCGGATTATTCGGTAATCCGGAGTGCATTTCACAACCCATTGCGTATCCTATAATCCGGATTGATTGACCTATTTGACTCAAAAATCCGGATTGTAAAGATACGTTACTTTTTATTTTAATAAAAAAATCGTTGCAAATTTAATTGAAAATGATACCTATTATATTCAATGTTCATATTTTTGAAATGAATAATTTTCATTTTTAATAAAAACATAAAAATAATTAAATTATCACCAAATTAATATAAACTTAAACCAATTAATAAAACTCGATAATCCGGAAATCTCGGTAATCCGGATTGGGGTCTGCAATCAATTATCCGGATTGGCGAGTTTTTACTGTATACTCGGACAGCAGAAGAAATGTAAAATTCTGTCATGGATTTGGTAATGCAACTCGGAATGAAAATGCAATAATCTCTAATAAAATAAACATATTTCAAAGAGCTCATAAATATCATTACTACACAATTTTAAATAACAATATTAAAATATAAAAAAATGCGGTCCATATTACCCGACTTTGATTTTTTTATTAAAAAATAATTAAATAAATACAAATTAAAACACACCGATTGTAATTACAGCTAAACGTACATTTTTATTGTGGAAAATAAAGAACCATTATAATTTCTTTATATTTTAGAGAAAGAAATTGTTTGACTTTTGCGCTAAATATATTTTTTTTAAATCAAAGTTTTCTATGAGAGCTTAACTAAATTTTCAACATTGCAATTATGTCCTTAAAATCATGTTAGATTTTTGTTTTCACTAATTAACCCTTTGAGCCCCGATTTTTCCGCAATCTTTGAACAAATTTCTGTTCACAGATTTAATGCAACTAAATAGGATAAACTAAAATTTGACATCGCTACATCCTTGCATTCGGGAGATACAGTACCTTCTTTCGGAAAAATTAAGGTCTAATATCAAGAAAACCAAAAACAAAATCGACAGAAAAATCATTTTAAATTATTCACTATATTAATTATTACAATAATCTAAAATAATTCTGATAACAGAATTCGTGCAATTTGAATACTAAGCAATTTAAATAATTATGTGTACAGTACACACAAATTACAAAAAAATTGAATTGTTTTTGCAAAATAGTCAGGCTGAATCCAGTTTGTTGTTTTTATAAAAAAACAACTATATATTAGTGGGGAATGTATGGCATTGTTTGCCGAGGGGTAAGGCAGGGAAGACTATAGTTACAATGCCATACATTCCCCACTAATAAATAGTTGTTTTTTTATAAAAACAACAAACTGGGATTCAGCTTGACTATTTTGCAAAAACAAAATACAAATGGTATCCCAAATAAACCGCCTACACTACCAAAAATTTGAATTTTTAAGATTTTTCTTTTGATATGCGTTGTCCATAATCAGGTCTTGACGTATGAAATCCAAATAATGTATATTTTCTAGCTACATATTAAATATAAGCTCCACAAAGGGTTAAGAAAGCATATATCAAGGCGGCATTGTCATATTTCTAAGAAATGGGGGTGGTCCACATTAGACGCATAGTCTACATCACCCAAAGTTCCTCTAGTTTTCAGAATTTTATAAGATTACGAAGTCTTTTATGTCTTTATAAAATGATTAAGTAGCTAGTTCCGTTATGTGTTGTCGAATGGTTTTGTTTTGGGAGATTTGTAAGATCTTTTAATATCAGTATAGATTATTATAGGCCTCTAAGGCTTCCAAATTACTGAATAAATAAATTAAATTGAATCTCTTTTGTCACACACACACTAATGATTCAGGGATGGTCCGTATGACGAATTTTAAGGTTTTCGACTGTCAAAAAGGTGTAAACGTGGAAAACATATACCTGTATAAAATGTAATAAATGTAGTAAACGTCATTTATTTGAATATTTTTAGAGTTATTTTCAGGAATATACATTATTTTTACATATATATGAGTATTCCTTACTAGAACTTATTAAAAAATTTTAAACTTTTTGGAGAATAAAATTTTATATGGATTTCAGTAAAGCATACAGAATTTCCAAATTGATTAATGGAAATAGCTATTTTGTCAAAAACCTAATGGTTTTGCGTGGGTTTCCGACGTTTCTGACGTATGTATTATACGTCGGAAATGTATGTCATTTACGTCACTGCTTCTGACGGACCATCTCTGCTAGTGATGACACCTCACAACATAGTTGTGTAGGGTATAAAAATAAATACTTAAACCTAGGTACCGTTTTATTAGAGCATATGTCTTAAAGGACGTCGCATAAGGATAGTGTTGTGTAATTATGTTCTTTTTTGGTTTCATTACCAGACTCATTATTATGGGGGTTTATTTTATTGAAATGTTTTATTAATATTTATTTGTATTTCTATTAATACAATTATTTAAACTATGTAAATTAAAATGAATTCAAAGAGTTATTTAGAATAAAACACAAAGGTATTTAAACAAATTTGGCCGCCTGCCGCTTTGCCGTCGTCATCTTCGATGTTGTCGTCTCAACAATCAAACTTAAACTGCTCTCGTCTTCTCGGTTCGACTAAAATGTGATCTCACTCAAAAAGTTAAACAAATTTGGTTTAAAGGAGAGCTTTGAAGGAACTTAAGGGTTGCCAGTCTGACAAAGTTGGATAACTGCCTTTAAATTTTCAATGGCTTCAGTTTCATTAGCATCTGGTATAACGATATCGTCAACATAGGTCAATGCAATGCCTTTGCGGGTTGCTTCTCGGAAAATTGCATTAATATATCTTTGGAACACAGCTGGAGAGTTTGATAATCCAAAAGATACTCTTTTTAATTGGTATTGACCGTTATGTATCACGAACGATGTAAATTTGCGGCTTGATTCGGCTAATTTTACCGGCTTATATGTTCTAACCATTTCGATTATCTCTGCCTTGGCTTCTTTACTTGCCATTTCGCCAATTTCCAATTCCGGTTCCGAACACTCAATTCTCATAATTGGAATATTTTCACATTCAGGTTTAATTTTTTGTGATGGTGACACTTTTGGGACGAATTATAATTTCAGCTTGCGTGCAAAAGCTTTCACCAATTATCAAGTACACGGAACAACAATAAAATTTATAATATAGTCCTCGCCATCAATTATTACTTTTGTCTCGAATTGTCCGATTGGTCTTAATTCTGGCATTTCCAAATCCAACTAAGTAAAGGTTTTCACTACACGGTTTCGTTTTACAATCAAATTGAAGAAAAACATTCTCATTCATTATATAAAACTTACTACCGGTGTCAATTAATGGGTTATAATTTCGATTGTTAATTTTCACTGTCTTTGTCATTAACTCATTTTTTGGTTCAAGTAATCTTGTATTCGATTTGTCTTAAATTTCTGATACACAGTTTTAGCGATATGACCAAAACAATCGCATTTAAAACACTTTAAACCATCACTTTTGTGTCTACAATCCTTTGATTTGTGTCCTTTAATTTTCTGATAAATGTTTTTAGGATTTGTTTCTTGTTTACATTTGTTACGAAATGTTTCGTATACCGATAATTTATGTTTAAATTCGCGAATGTTCTTTGCACCATACAAAATAGCTTTGTTTACATTTAGATCCTCCATACCGTCAATCACATATTGTATAAGAGAGCTTTCATCTACTTGTCCTCTTTCCGCAATCTCTTCAACTTTGAAAAAATACTCGAAAACGGTTTCATTTTTTATCATCTTTCTCTCGGAGAAAAGTTTGTGTATTTGAGCCAGGGCTGCCATATTTGCCGATTTATCGGCATTTTGACGATTTTTCACTCTAAAAATGGAAAATGCCGATTTTCCGATTTTTGCCTCAGAATTGCCGATATTTCAACAATCGACACAAATTGTCTAACTTTTTAATTTAATACGGCGTTACCATACAAACATATAAAATTGGCAGCTTTAAATCATTATAACTATCGGCGACTCGCCGCAGCCGTTTTCAATGGGTTAGATATCTGCATTTTTTGTCAGCATTGTACTCTGTCTAGTTT